GAAAAAAAATTCTTTTGTTCTCCCTTTTCTATCAGGGAAATGCAGAAAGGGAGGTGGCTCGAGTTCAGGAAATGACACCGGCTTTCCTTCCCCTGCCATCTTCCCAGGTCTGGCCCCCTCCCTCGGCAAACTCCGGACTCTCTTGCTTAGGGTGAACCCAAGACTTTCTTCCCTGAACTTCATTCCTCAAAAGCCAGTGCCATCCCCCCCCCTTTCCTTTGTGTTTCCTTCCTTAGCTCCTGACAGCCCCCCCTCCGGGAGTTGCTAAAGCAGAAAAAGGCTGGGCTCCCAAACTGACTTAGTTTCGGATCCCTATAAAATAGTCCCCCTTTTTAATTTTTCCGGACAGCAGCTCCCAGCTCCCCCCTTCGGCCAGCGGCCATCCCAGCCAAGGGAGGCTGGGAAGGGCATTCCAACCCTGTTTGGAATTTATTTACAGTATTTAGTTATCTATTTTTCTTTAAAATATTTTTTTCCAACCCGCCTTTCTTCTTAAAAGGGACTCAAGGCGGCTCACATCATTAAAAGACCGTATTTAAAGCAAAAAAAAAGTAAGGATATGCATATTAAAAAAGATCAAGTAAATACTGCACTGTAAGAAGGGAGCAAATGCCGATGAAGAAGAAAAAGCGCTTTGTAAGGAAGATTCAACATTCCTTAGAGATCAGCTGCTCTGTGCATGAGAAACTAACGGCTTTGCTGAGATGCAAGAAATCGTAACCCATGCATCTAGTCCTCAAGGACCAATGGATTGCTGCATACTTTTGTTTCCTTTTTTTAGAACTGTATAAAAGCTTTAATCTTTGGGTCTCCCACCCTGCTGGGCACCCAAGCGTGCACTTGTTTTATCTGAATTATAGCCCTTGCTCCAGACTTGGCTTAATAAAATTAGCCAAGATATTGAGCTTCAGGAGTAACGGCACTTAAAAAAAAAGACATTCAAAGCAGTAAGGGACAAAATGATCCTTAAAAAAAAAAAACCACACTCAGGCAGCTAGTCTGTTTCCTCCGTATCTGAAGGGAAGTCATGCTTCATCACCAGGAAAAAATAATAATAATTGCTTCTAAGGCCTAGAGAACATGTGAATTCTGCACATGGCCAAAAGCATTTTCTTCTTTCTGATAGCTTCATACATCCCTGGGCCATCTCGGCATTTCCTCCCCCTTCCCCCCCCTCTGCTTGTTTGATATGTTTTTCCCTCTAGTCAAATTCTAGATGCAAGAGCTGCTAAATTAAATTTTTCCCACCTTCTACGATGCAGTGTTGAGTTGGGCCCTGTTTGCTACTAGATTCTTTGCTGCTCTAGAGTTACAATTCTAAACGGAGCCCTTGCTTTACGTCAATTGAAAGTTGTAGTATTTTCTAATTTTTATTGTCATCCACTTTGGTTGTTTTTACAGAAAAGGATGCTATGAATATTTATTCAGATTTAAATTAAACACCAGTGCAAATTAAGTGCTATGAACTTAATCCGGAGGCAAACCAACACAGAAACACACATGGCCGTTGAGTGAGAAAAGGAAAATAATTAATTCCATGTTAGAAAAAGTTTTAACAGAGGCAAAATTTTCAGACTTACCAAGGAACGCACTACACCTTGAGAATTTGCCCAAGAACAAGCTCTAAGGGGCAACCTAGAAAATGCACAACAGACATTTTGTGGCCGTTTTGCACAGACAAGGGAAAATTCATGAATGAAATAAAATATATTAGACAAAAAATAGGTAAAATGTATCCCTATGACTTTACTGACATGTTGTCCGGATCTCCCCCCCCCAGCCCCAGCCCACGTTATACCAATCTTTCTGGCCCAGAAAGTGGTTTTTTTTAATTCATTAAAGAAAAAAATGGAACAGAATGGAAAGTCACAAAAACCAATGTAGTGAGCCCATTTATGTAATTTATTTACATTTCTATCCCACCCATCCTAGTGCCTAGAAATTCAGTAACACAACTGGGCGAGCTATCTTTTAAACATTGCACCTTGTCCCTAACAACGGATAACACCTCCTAATGATGGTAAAGACTAGTGAGAATGAATTACAGTATTTCAAAACAAATGCATGTTCTGACTCAGTGGGATTTTGGAGTTTCCCAGGGCCACCTAAGTTCCCTTGGCTTGTCAATGCACACACACACACACACACACACGCACGCACGCACGCACGCACGCACGCACGCACGCACGGACTCGCACCCCCACCAAAAAAAACCCTCTGCACAAACAGATCTGCCCTCTATCCCCCTCAGATGATGCTTTCCGGTGCAGTGGGTGACAAAACAATACAACCCACTGCGGATGAATGCCTGGCAGCGCCTGGAGGAATTTCCGGTGATGGGGGGGGGGGCAAGAAAAGGAAAGAGATATAATAAAACAACCCAGAATAATAGATTTTGCTGACAGTCAGAAATGATAGCCATGTGCAGAGTCCCCCCCCCCCAATCATGCTGGCCTGCTTCTCCTCCTCTTTTGGGCTGCAGCTGAAACAGCAAACGGAGTGTGTTGGGGGGGAATGACACATGTGCTCCTGTACCTATTGAGGTTTAGAGACAGGACTCCTCCACCCTCCAGAAAAAAGGGGATAATAGAGTCGTCTGGGGATTCTGGGCGTTGCAGTGGGACCCATTGGAAAGCCACCAACTTGGTAGGCTGGCTGAGCCGACAGCTTGGCCAATTTATGTATTATTTGTTCCATGGGTTTGAAATATTTTCTTAGCCCTTTCTCCTAAGGAAAAAAAAAACCCCAAAGCAGCTTGCATCCTTAAAACTAAATATTAAAGCTAAAACAGTTCATGATTAAAACATTTAAAAAGAATTTTTAACGTTAGGTTAAAAACGTTAGGCAAAAGCATCAAAGATCTGGAAGCAACAAAATGCAATTTTAAAATCTCTTATAGACACTCAGGAGAAGCCTGCCTGAAGAGAAAGGTCTTTGCCTGTTTGCAGAAGGAAAACCAAGACGGGGCCAGGCCGATTTCCAGTGGGAGGGAGTTCCAGAGTTGAAAGGAGCAGCCACAAAGAAGGCGGCCCTCTCCCGTGTTTTCCCACCAAAGGCAACTGGGAGGGTGGTGGAATTGAGAGAAGGGCCTCTCCTGATTATTTGAACATGGAGCAAGCTCATAGAAGGAGATGGGGTCTTTGAGATAGCTTGGACCCACTGAACACTGGGGCAAGCTCACAGAAGGAAATGGGGTCTTTGAGATAACTTGGACCCAAGGCATTGAGGGCTTTAAAAATCGGAAACAGCACTTTGGTGGTGTGTGGTACTGCCTTTAGCAGCTGGCCAAGCACCCCTAGCACCCTTTACCACCATGGTCATCGCCCTCTGCAAACAAGTGACCCCTGGGGGAAAGGCGGAAGGGCAGCCGAGTCCTAGCCCTGCTCCCCCTTGCATGGGAAAGGGAGAATTTGGCTCCACCAAGACCGGTTGTGTGTTTCAAGCAGTTTCACTCCTTTTGGCAGGTGGCTTTGCCAAACGGCTTTCCCGCAGGTTGTCTGGCAAAGGGGGTGGTTCCTGCCTGCAAGAATCCGAAGGCAGAGGAAGACTGGAGAATAGACGGACGGACTCAGAAAAGGAAGCCACAGCTTTGGGCCGCCCAGGCCGTTTAAAGGTTGCCCACCTTGTGGAGGCCACTCAGGCCTGGGTTTGCTGCAGGTTGGAAGAGTTAAGAGAAAGGCCCTCTGGTTCAGAACGACACACTTGCAAGAGTGTGTGTGTGTGTGTGTGTGTGTGTGTGTGTACTTTGATCGAGCCACTACAAATCCACACAATTTGCAAGCTTTTATGGGTCAGTCTCTCACTTCGTTAGGCTGTGCACAACAGTGCAGGAAAAAATGGTCAATATTGTATGTCAGGGTCCCCCAAAAAATGCATGGCAAATACCCAGGACGAGGCTGTCTGTAAGTTGCAAGTTGGAAGACACTTTGTGGCCTGTTACAACACTAAAAAAAATGAATGGGCGCAGTAAGAAGTACTAGTAATAAAAGACCTGCAGATATTAAAATTCTTAAAAAAATGTCAAGATGTAGTTTCGAACTCGTGAACTCTGACCCTTTGCGGCGCCATTTTGCCCCCCCCTTCCCGAAAGGGGCGAAGGCGCTGCCATGTTTGTCCGAAAAGGGGACCTCTTTTCCCGCCGAGGTTTCATTTGCTGTATAGAGCGTTCTCAACTTGGCCGCCATCTTGGATTCGTAATGCGACTCCCCAGAATACTCTCACACGACCCGCTCACGCTATCGGGATACTCTAGCACTGGACATCTCTATGGCCGAGGCGTTCCCTCTTCTGCAGGAAAAGCGAGGGCGGAAATAATTTTCAGTCGGGACCGGAAGTCCCGGGAAGGACTTTCCTGCCGGACGACTCCATAGACACCAATGTCTTGGGATAGGGCGTTTTCAGGACGGACGCCATCTTGGATTGAACGCCGGGCCGCCCCTTCCTGTTCCTCCGCAACCGTCCCCAGCTGAGTCCGGACAAGAGGGAAAAAGTTGAGTTTGACGGAGAAAAAAAAAAGTGCCGGGGCTGGATTCGAAACATGCGGGAGCGGGGAGGGTGCGGCGGGCCAGTGGAGGGGCTGGGAACGATCTCCACCCCCATGAATGCAGAGGGTGGGTCGATGGGTGGGAAGGTGGGGAAGGAGAAGGCAAAGGCGGGCAGGCTGGCCGGAGGGCGGAAAAGGCCTTGTTTTTTGGGGGGGGGACTACATCTCCCAGAATCCCCTGCAAGCCGAATTTGCCCTGCTGACCTTTTGGACTACAACCCCCAGCATCTCTCAGACAGTAAGGCTCAGCCAGGTTGTATTTGCACTACAAAGCCCAGAACTCAGTGTGGGCCTGCTGGCTGGGAGATGCTGGGAGTTGTAGTCCCCGCTTCCCCAAAAGACCCCCTGACCCTCGGGTGGTGGTGAGACTCGGGAGCCCACCTGTATCCCTCCAGGCTCCTGCTTCCCACCCGTCCCCCAAAGGCAGCGGCTCTCCCCACCCCTCATGCTTCCCTTCCTCCTCTTGGGGGATTCTGGGACTTCTAGTCCAAAGAGCAACGTCCCCAAGCTGTCGTTCTGAGGTGCCTTGGAAGCGAGACCCCAAGGCCCGCTCCGCCAGCAGGCCTGCCAGCTTCTCCTGTCTCTCTTCTTTTTGCAGGTTGCTGCCGGTCCTTCCTTCCTTCCTGCGCCGTCCGTCCATTTGTCGGCCCCAATGGCTGCGGCCTCCGGCCTTCCCCATGGAGATGACAGGGACAGCTTCCCCTGTGCCGCGCCCACCCCACTGCCAGCCCCACAGAGCCTGGGCCTGGCCCCCAGTCCAGAGGTCGTCCTCACCCCCGAGCGGAGCAGCACTAGGAAAACAGGCAGCGGGATCCTTCGGCAACACGGGCAGGGAAAGCTCCCGCGGAGACAGGTCTCTCTGGGGAGGGGATGATGGGGGCAGGGGGCCAGAGCAAGGAGGATGGGCTTCCCACCTGCTGGGAGGTGCCTCCGCCCTGGCAGTGAGGCAGGTGGCTGGATGGAGGGTTGCACTAAGATTTGGGAGACCTGGGTTCAAATCTCCACTTGGCCACGAAACTTTAAAAGGGCAACCTCACCTCAAGTGGGGCCCACTCTTTTATCCTCACCCATCTGGCCGACTCCACTAGGTGGTTGTGGGGTGGGAAGGGATGACGAGGAAGGCCGTGTATATGCCATCTTGAGCTCCTGGGGGAGAGGGGGGGGTTGTAAATGCAGTGAATGAAAATGATAAGTTGGGCTGGGAAAGCTGAAGCACCATGCAAAGCCCTCCTGCAGAGAACTCCCGCCTACCTGAATTTGAACTTGGGGTTCTGCCTACAGGCGTTATTGCTGGCAAGAGGGCTTTCTAGTGCCTGGGCGCTCAGCTCCTGAATACGTTGAACCTGGAGAGCCGTTCAGAGCATGTGTAAAGGGCTCTTCTGCCCACCAAGTGCCGGTAGAGCCACTGCCCGGCATATCTTTAGAAAGGGGTGGGGAATGATTCCTTCCCCCCCCCCCCAGCCTGGTCTTGCAAATTAAGCAGAACCTCTACTTCCTTCTAGGTTCGTTTCAGGCTGGGATCAATCAGCCTCGATCCACCCAAGCCGCCGGAGGAGACCCAGAGTAACAACTCGGAGGGCCCCCAGCTCCCCGTCACACCGAAGCAGCAGACCCGGGATGGCTCGGCCAGGGTGGACTTGCAGCCGCCCCCTGCTCCGCTGGCCGTCCCCGTTCCCCACAGCACTCTGGCTTTGGGAGCAGAGGTGCAGGCCGCGCGAGAGCAGGGCTTCAATGCTCAGCAGGCGGCAGAGGAGCTGGTGCAACGCTCCTTTGTCACCCGTTGTGCTGTGGAAGCTCGAGTGAGTGAAGGTGAGTTCATAGTAGTTGTTTAACACAGCGTCATAGATCTTCGAAAGGGGAGAGGGTGGTGGTGGTTCTAAGTCCTTCTTTTGTGAACATCTTTACTGGCACCAAAACGATCTGGAAAACAGGCTCCTACCGGTGATCCGCTTTGCCATAAAGAACGGCCCTTCTTTGGGTTGGCTGCACATATAAGGACTTGGGAAGTGGCAGATGTTAGGGACGGTCTATATGCCACGTCTTCTTCCCACCACGATCCACGTGGTGCAGATTTCCCACCCTCCATCAAAGACCCATTTATAATCTCCAGGTCCTTCTAAATTTCTTAGCTTGCTCCTTGGTTTCACTCCAACAGGTGCCTTTTTAAAGCTGTGTTTTATAATTGTCTGAAATATTTATTATCTGTACGGCAGTGCTTCTGACGTAAACCAAGACGGTCCAGTCCATTCCCTTTGGAGAGGGGAATGGCATCCAAGGGCCACGGCTGGAGGCCTGCCTCCCTGCGGCTGCCATGGGGCAGCCCCTTTTGTGGCTGTGTAGGGGTGTGCTGCCTCAAGGCTGCTCACCACTGTGGCCTCGGGCAAGACAAGAGGGTCACTTTCCTTAAAGGACAGGAGGCGCCCAACCTCCGGGAAGCCAGGCTGACTTGCTAGCACACATTAAACACATCAGTGATCGTGACTTGAGCGCAGGCAAAGCAGCAGCAGCAGTAGTTAAGATTTTTAAAGCAAAGGGTGCATGGCGAAGGGGCAGTGTTCACTCACAGGCACCGTCGAGAGCCTTGGGTGTGTGTTAAAGGGTGCAGAAGACACTGACGTAGGTGTGACGTTCCCTTTCCTTCTCGGCATTTGTAAGGGACCGTGTTTCAGTGCAAAAAACCCAATTTCCTCACGTTCACTCTGGCTCTGCCAGCTCTGGTCTGCACTTTTCCTTGGTTTTAAGCCTGGGAGGAGCAAGGCGGCATTTTTATTTGTTGAAAATATTTTCTCCCCAAAAGGACCCAAGGCAGTAGCCAAAGAGTGGGTGTGCCTTCGGTGTCCGAGGGATGGCACGGGGCTGGGCTGATCCTTCCACTCCAGAAACACCTTTGTTTGGGTGATTTGACGGGAGTAAACCTGTTGGTGAGGGTGGCCTGCCATCTAGTGACTGAAGGCAGTACAGCAGGATATGCTGCAGAATCATAGAAATGGCGACCTACGCCAGCCTCCTTCCAGTGCAAGGAACTCAGAGCGAAACCGGTACAGACCGAGAAGCGTCCAGCCTCTGGCTGAGAAACCCCCGAGGCAGGAAATCTCACCACTTTCCCTTTGGGCCATGGGCAGCTTCCTCTTTCTCCTCCTCCTCTCTCTCTCTCTCACAAGGCTCAGCCGCGTCAGAATCAGATCAGACCCCTCTTCCGTCCAGCCTTGGGTTTGTTTGCTCTGCTTGGCCACAGCGAATCCTGACAGTTTGGGACAGGATTCTTTCCATGCCCTGCATTTCCATGGGATCTCCTGGGTAAAGTCCTGGCGAACTCTACCTCTGTGTCACTTCAGAAGCCTGGTGGTTCCATCATCCCCGGCTGATAGAGGCCCTTTTGTTCTTACGGATGTCATCTGGCTGGCTTTAACCGCCGTTTATTGCTGCTTCTGCAACCTCCGTGGTGTCATGTTGGGTGTTTTTTCTGCCACCCACGTTTCTTTTAATTACAACACTCTCTGTTTTATAGAGAAGCAGACTCTTTTAAACCATTCCCAATCCTTCTTGGGCAGAATGGGGTCTTTGCCATCCTCGGCAGAACTCCAGCTTTCTCTCTGGGGTCTTGCAGGCGTGAACATCCCTCGGGACCAGCAACTCTACCACGGACTCATCAGCCTCCATGTCCCAGAAGAGGAATTGCTCAGCTCGGTTGTGCAGGAGAAACTCGCCCTTGTCCGGCACCGTCCTGAAGCCAGGCAGGTCAGTCCAAAGGCCCGCCAGCCTTGACCGTAGCACCCTCTAAAAAGCTCCAGCGCTGTATCCGCCCTTCCTGAGGGGTTCTGGGACTTGTAATCCCAACACCTGTGGGGAGGGCAGCCACTGTCAGGCAGGCTGGCCCACTTTGTTCTCCAGCAATGGGGGAGGGGGCCGCCCTAGCACATAGGATGCATAGCCGCCGCCCCCCCCCTGAGAAAGACGCAAGCGTTCTCCTTGTCACCTTAACCTCGACATTTGGCTCCTGGTTCCTCCTAGGAGGCACACGGCACAGGACCGGATCTGCTGGCATTTTACAACCCAGAGGAGCTGTTCACGGAGACTCCCTACCTGGAGGTGGAAGGACTGCCACCCTTGAAGCTACAACCTCAGACACGGGATCCATCCACCACGTTCTTTATGTACCGAAAGCTCCACCAGTGGGACAGTTGAGAGGGAAGGGGCCGGGGTGGTGGTGGTGGAGGTCCCTGCCCTGTAAAAACTGGACTCCTCCCAAGTGCTTTGTTTGAGGCTATTTATCCACCAGGTCGTTCCCTCTCCCTTGCCTGTTTTGTACATAAAACTTCACCGCAATCCGTCCTTCTGGTTTCTCTCCCCATCGGATGATTTTACTTCAAGCAGCAACAGGCAATTGGCTTGTGCTTGGAGGACGCCCACCTGCCTGCCTGCCCGTTTTTCAGCCACCCTGCCACCTCTCCTTGGACACAAGAGGCCACTATGGTTTAACACTCACAGGCTTCAGCCAAGCTTTTTACCCAAAGCAGGACAGCCACTGGTAATAATCTGTAGGCTTTATTTATATATAGAATCAACATCTTTGCAAAGATAAAACTCCAGCTTGTAGGGAGGACGCCCACCTGCCTGCCTGCCCGTTTTTCAGCCACCCTGCCACCTCTCCTTGGACACAAGAGGCCACTATGGTTTAACACTCACAGGCTTCAGCCAAGCTTTTTACCCAAAGCAGGACAGCCACTGGTAATAATCTGTAGGCTTTATTTATATATAGAATCAACATCTTTGCAAAGATAAAACTCCAGCTTGTAGCANCAGGACAGGCCATCTCCTCCGGGCCCTCCAAAAGGCAGCTCCCGCGGTGTCACAGCTGGCAGGCATTGGGATCTCGCGGCTTGCCACCCAGTGAGGCCATTTACCACTGAGGGGAAGGCAGTGGGGGCCTCCCTCTCTCCTCAAGGGATCGTGCGACCCCTTGACGGTCAGGGCAGGTAGTAGGAGGTTAGGGCCAGGGGATGGGTGGCAGGGGCTCTCCTCTTCCTTCTTCCCAAGCGAGCATACATCACAAAGTGTGCTGAGACAAAAAAAAGGGAAGGAAAAAACAAAACCACAGACCCTTTTTGCTTCTTCTGGAGCAAATGTGGAAGAAAGAGCCACATTCCAGGGGACGATTCTGTCTGAAGAGGGGTGGGTGCCTCCTTTGGCCTACAGCTTTTTTTTTGTCTGTCTGTCTGTCTTGTCCTATCGCTCCCACGGGGTATTCTGAAATACCTGGGAGACCCCGGGGCCTAGTTTTTGTGGCAAAAAAAAAAAAAAAAAAAAAAAAACAACTCAGCCCTTGGCTGGCTGGGTGCCGAAAGGCACATCGTCATCATCCATGCTTTGCTTTCCAGGTGGGTGGTTGCCTCTTAAAAGTCAAATCAATGGGCTGCTGCCTGTAAAGGAGGCGCTTACCAGCAACTAATGTTGTAACATGTGTGTGCACGTGCACACACACCTATATGGGGTAGGGGGCTGGGAGAGGGAAGGGCAGAGCATTCTTTTTTTCCTTCTCTCTAACAGCAGAGAGAAGTAGTTCATTTGGCTGGCCCCCACCTCAGTCTGCACACACACAGCTCCTCTCCGCTGGCTGCCAATGTGAAGTCTTCTGGGCCCCCGACACGTGCGAGACAGAGGGACCAAGTCTTTGCTGCTTCTCTCGACAGATGCGGAGATCTCCTTCCTTTTGCAGAAATGGGGAGGGGGTTGCCAGCCAACAGCCAACACACTGGCAAGGAAAATATGTCAGCAGGCCTGCTTTGAAAGAGGAGGTTACCTGGCTTGTGCTAGCAACCCCCCCCCCCCCGCTGGCCACAGATCCACTCCTGTGACAAAGAGGTCTATAGCCCAAGCCAGGGGCCATTTCCTTCCAGGTCGGCTCTGCTAATGCACGATGCTCTTACTGCTTCCTGTGCTCGTGGACAGAGATGAAAAAGGCTTTGAGAGGGAGGGATTCTGGCTTTCCACCTGCTAGCAATTCAGTAGGAAACTGGGAGAGGGAAGCCACCTTGATACAGGCTTGGGTTGCCAAAAAAAAAACCAAAAAAACGGGACCCATACCCCCCCCCCCCGCCACCACACCTGTTCTCACCCAGCGCCCATGGAGTGAACTGTTTCCTTCCCCATTTCTTCCCAGCAATACTTCGCATTCGGCTTTGAGCAATTCCCAATGCGCTGCTCGTTCCCATTAACCCCCAGTCTCCAGATACTTCTGGCTGCAGCCAATTAGAGGAGCTCGCAGGGCGGCCCCTCGTCCAGGAGAGCGGCAACAGTCAGCTCAGCCCCCACCTGGAGTTTCTGAAAGGCTCCTGTCCCCCTCTTGAAGTGTCCAACATTCAGCTGCCGGGGCCCGCCGGCCCCTCACCCCCCAGCCTGGGCAAATCAAAGGAGGAGAGGCTGGCGCTCCTGCTGCAGCAGAGTTCCTCAGCGGCCTCCGGGGCAGGCTTTGTGGAAGAGATAGATGGGGCGCTGGAATCCTGCAAGGAGAAGCAGCCAGTCAGAAGGCGAGAGTTGGAGTTAAGTATTTTGTGCACACGAGGGGGACGACACACACACACACACCCAGGTAAATGCCAAGCATGTCTCACTGGAGGAGAAACCTTCCACCCCATCCACAGTAAACAACAATACCTCTCAATTTAGGCAACGGCAACCTCCAAAGCATGTTTTCCTGGGCGGGGGGGGGGGGGAATGAAAGTGGTCTGCACACCGTTTGCTCAGAAACACATTTTCCCTGTGGCTGCGATCCGGCGCCGAAGCTCCCCTGGCACCTGGCCTCAAGGGCGGCCTTCCTGCCCAGGGCTTTGCTTGCCGGTGGTGCTGCTGCCGGTCTTGAATGCAGAAGGACAGCCGCGCTGGCAGCTTCCCGGCCTCCTTGCTTCAGATCACTTTGTTACCGCAGAGGCAGACTTGAACCCAGGACAACATAAGATTCCGGCAGCCGGTCAAGACAAGAGTCACCTCAATGGATAGCAACGCAATGAGCATTTCCACAGGGCGCCAAGGACCTCTGTGGCCAACTGGCCCACCTCCCTCCCCTTCCTGCCCATTTCCGTCTAGGATGCCTTGAACGATGCTTGCAGTGCCAAGACTTAAGAGCATTTCTTTTCTAGGCTACAGTTCCAGAACAGCCCAGCCAGCATAGGGCGTTTTGAGAGCTTTATGCTCCCCCCTCACCAGAAAGGCCAGGGCGGGGCATCTTTGGTGCTCAGGGTGGCATGGCCTACACCTCTCCCCCCTTCAGCCCCTGAGAACAGGCCAACCGCAAAAAGACCAAAAGAGCCCCCGTGGCCCCTCCCCCACCAGACCCAGGGCTGGGCTCTTGAAGGATGTGAATTTCACCTTCCTGTAACAAAACAGTGCATAGAAAATTGTTGTTGATTTTTAGTCGTTTAGTCGTGTCCGACTCTTCGTGACCCCATGGACCAGAGCACGCCAGGGCCGCCTGTCTTCCATGGCCTCCCAGAGTTGGGTCAAAGCATAGAAAATACCCATACCCTCAAAGCCCAAGAGCGTGATTCGGGGTTTACCAGTTTGCTGCAAAGAGCTGCATTTATCCCCCATCCCCAACTCACCTTTTGACGTATTCCTCGGCATGGCAACCAGTTCATAACTGGAGAATCCAACTTCAGATGAAGTCAGGTAGGAGGGAAACTGGTCTGGTTTCAGCTTGATTCGGTGATAATGCCGGGATATCGTTTCCTGAAAAAAGAGTGGAGTCCAGGAAAGAGAATGTCACAGCTGAGTTCTCTACGATTACCTAGGTGGACAAAAGGGCCGGGCGGACCTTGCTGAAACCCAATGGGCTCGAAATAGCAAGGCCAAAGCAGTGGTCGCGGAGTGGAAGGGGAAGCCTGACGATGCACAGAAGGCTGGGCAGGCTTGGCCCAGATAGAGGACAGGGTCCGTCCTCGCCCCCCGGGAATCACAGCCACATCCCCACATGCCGGGGATTAAGACAAGCGGATTTCAGGCCTTAACTGTCTCTTTTTAAAATATCCCCATGAATGCCTCTCCTTATGTATTTTGTGGGTTCAGCCAAAAACAAGGGAGCACCCCTTCCAGGACACGTAAATTCTGCTCTGGCAACGCCAGCGCTTGGGCACTCAGTTGGTACAACTCCGAGCAGTCCCTTCCTGGCACCGAACCCTCCCCAACAGCCCCTGCCTTCTTAATTCCAAAGTGCAAGAAAGTGGTTCCGGCCATTCGGTTGCACAGGCTTTCTCAGAGCAAAACAAAAGCAAACGTTGCCTTTATCTACCTTCTTGGTATCACCCTGCTCTCGACACCGGAGCCCCGATCTAAGCAGTAACAAAGCCTTATGGCATGACAGGGCCTGCAGCACCCACTGCTGGCCCTCATCCACAGGCTCCCTTCTCTGGGCGCTCCTCAAACAAAAGAAGAAGATGGCTTGGCCTTGCGCTGGGGAGATCCTCCCGCGGCCCGGCATGCAGCTTCTGGCTAGGCCAGAACATTTCGCTCCCGGCTGCCTTGGGCAAAGCAAGAACTGGCAAACTCTGCTGTGGTGGGAGCAACGAGGGGTGGCTTCCTCCCCGCGCCCCCACCCACCAGACCCAAACTGTCCTAAAGCACAATCGGTTGAGGAGGAAAGCAGGCCTGCAGGCAGTTGGGGCGTCCCCTTAGGCAGCCAGGGGCCGGCCAGCTCACCGTCAGATTCTTCCTCTTCTTGTACGACGACCAGGCCTGGGGCTCAAGGACCAGGATGCCTCCCGGCCTCAGGTGGCGATAGAGGCGCCGGAACAGGCGCTTCAGCCCCTCGTCGCCCCAGTTGAGGTGGACCCACTTGGTGAGGCTGAGGCAGAGGATCACGTCGTATTCTGGCTTTTGAGCCTCCAGCAGCTCGTCGCGCTCCAGGATGTAGTTGCCCTGCGGTGGAAGAGAGAGAAGCGTCCTCTCAGCAGGGACCCTGCCAAACGGGCCCACCCCCTGGATGGACTGGAGGCAGGAATCTTCGTCCTGGGCAGGGGTCCTCGGGACCACCATGCAGCACAGTGCTCATCCGAATACAGGGGCTTCTCCCAGCACTGACAGACAAGCAAGCCCCGGAGATCAACCCCTTCCCACCTTGCAGGCAGCTTCCCCCCACTTCCAGGAGCCCACGTGCCAGCCCTCCCTCACAGAGGGCTCCGGGACGACAGACCACCAAACCCAGAAAAGCACTGCAACCCTTTCCCCCCCCCGCCCCGCAAGGCCTAGGTCTGACACCAAGCTCCCACAGAACCAGGACGACAGACCACCAAACCCAGAAAAACACTGCAACCCTTTCCCCCCCCTGCCCCGCAAGGCCTAGGTCTCATTTCCTGGGGCAAACCAGACCGAAAAGCCCAAAGGATGGGAGAGGATACAGAGCGGCCTGCCTCCCTCTCGCCTTCCAAGCTACTGAGGAGGGCACAGGAGCCCTTAGCCACTCAACAGCGCTCCGTGCCTGGGGCCCGGCTTCAAAGCCAGGCAAAAGGCTGGGGTGGGTGGGTGGTCATTAGGGTTAATGAACGGGGAAAGCCTTCTGAGCACTTCAATGCAGCAACAACCTCCCCACCCCACCCCAAGCTGCTTGCTGATACAATGGGGCAGCCACATGGGGCCATGTGTGCAACTAGACTTTCTGACTCACACGCACAAAAGCAGAGTGCTGGTGCAGCCTAAGGGAGGTCAAGGCCCACCTGGAAGAGAGCAGGACTGGCTACAGCTGTGGGGCTGGCCCAAGGCAAGGCATCCCACCTGAGCCACACACACACACAGACACACACACGGCTTCAAGGCCAGGGGCAGCAGGGGGAAGGCTGGCTTCATCTCCTGGAGGGACGTGACTGTGGGGGGAGCAGCACAGGGGCATGTATGTGGTTCAGCCGCCCCACCATTCCCTCCCTCCCCTCTTTGTCTCCCAGCACCACACAACTCAGCCCTTGGCAGCCTCTCACTGGGAGGCTCTGGTGCCCACTGCAGCTCTAGCACCGGCTTTTCCTAGACAGCAAACAGGCTAAACATCTGTGAAGCAAGAAGGGCCTGATGGAAGCCTAGAAGCAGCTGCCGCCCAAAAGGAGAGGAAAGCAGACAGGTTGGGGCCACACAGCGCCCACTCCAGCCTGGGTTCTGCAAGGCAGAAGATTCCCCCACCTACTGTGGCAAGCCTGGCCTGCAATGAAGCACCTGGCGGGGGGGATGGGACATCAGAAGAATCCAAAGCATTTCTCTCCCACACTCGAAGGGCAGAGGCAGAGAGAGAGAGAGAGGCAGAAGAGGAAAAGGAGAAAAGGTGGCTCCTTCAGTTCTCTTCTCTGCGGACATCTGGTGCTCAGGGAAGATCCTGACCTGTGCTGGCAAAGCCTCTCTGGAGCACCCAGGAAGGCCTTCAGCTGAGGGAAGAGCGGCAGCCCCTCTTCCCGCTGATGGCTGGACGTCCCTCCAGGGGAAACCAGAGAGCTCCCATGGCAGAGCTCAAGACAAGCGAGTCCATCCGACCTACTGGCTCCCCTCATTGGGAGTCGCAGGGCGGCTAAGAGGCCACCCCCAGCACCACCTCCCGGGACCCTCAGCAAACAGTTGCTTCCTCCAAAAAAAGGAAGGAGACCCTGGCTGGGCAGCTGAAACGGGAAAAGAGATTTAGGCAGAGGCCTTTTTGCCTCCTACAGAAACATGACCGGTGCAGGGGGGGGGGAGGGAGAGCACCCTTGGCTGGCCAAGATCCTCTCCCTACATAGTGCAGGATGGCAGGGAAACGAACCGGTGGCGCCTACACAGGCCTGCGTGACAATGCAGTCATCAAAGGCCCCAATCCTAACAGATCCTACTCACTTCTCTAGCTTGAGTCCAGGAAGCCATGAGCAACCCCCCCCTTGGGATGTCACGGGGGGGGGAAGGGGGGCAGTGCTCGTCCTTGCCGGCCCAACACATCTCTGGGATTGAAGCCAGACTGGAACCCCCACTCAGCCCAGGGCTCAGGAAATGCAGCCAGGAAATCCTGGGGCCAAATGCTCCATAACTGCTCTCTGCTCCCTCTCCCTGCTTTGGCGGTTTCTGCCTGCACAGGGGGGCTCAGGTGCCATCCGCTGGAACCCGCTCCTTCTCCCCTCCCCTCTTGCAATCTTGAAGGCCTCCCCTCACCCCACCTGCAATTCCTCTCCAATTCTTCGGCCAAATAAGCTGTGATAACCCATGGAAGAAAGAGGCAGTGCTTTGAACCCTGGAATGCAACGCCTTCCCTAGGAGAGCCCCTTCAAAGCCCTGTGGTGACTGCCTGCTAATGCAGTGCCCTTTGCTGCCAACGCTTTGGCCACCACATGAACCTTGGAAGTGGAGGAGCACCTGGCCAGAACCTCAGCTTTCCACACCCAGGGAGGCCTGCTTTGGCCAGCAGTAGCCCCCACCCCACCCCTCGGCCAGGCTCTTCCAGCCCCTGCTGCCTAGTCATCAAGCCAGAGGTCCTGAGACCTTCTGGACAAAATACACGTGTTGTGGCAGCACTAAACAACTGAGCCCCACTCAATTCTAGCTCTATAGGTCCCACCTGAAGAAAGGAACATACTTGGGGGAAACAGCCTCTGCCACTCCCCCCCCCCCGTAAAACAGAACGAGGAGGGTGATGGCACCAAGATGCCTTTTCCCCCCAATTTTCTTGGGGGGGGGGAAGTACACACCATCCTTCCCCTTGCACCATCCACGCCACTCAAGGTGCAGAGGACACATAATGGAGGGGGGGGAGAATGACAATCTGCATTCAGGCTCTGTGCCACCGCAGCCCTCAGAAGAGGAATTGCCACAGGGCAAGGGAGGGTTCAGGTGCTTCCCAAAAACAGAGGAGAGTCC